TCCCCCAATTCCCCAATAAAATGTTTTTAAAAAAAGAAATAATGCATATCTAAATTGTTCCTAGTTTTGAGAAGTGGATGGAGATAGTCTCAGAGACACAGAGGAAGAACTGAGGGTTGCTAATCGGGAGGGGGTGGGGATGAAGGAGAAGGGGAAGGGATGAGACAATAGATGGGGGGAGGGGGGTTGTTACTTTGTGAGGGTGAAAAGGGTAACTATTGCATTGTTCTGTACACCTGAAACTAACAATAAAAATAAATTGTTCCTAGTTTTAAAAATAGCTTTATTGAGGTATAACTGATACACAAAGTACTGCACATTTTAATATAAAATTTACTGCCCATTATTAAAGATTCAGCTTCCCTAAGCTCAGGGTTCGTCTCCTATAACAAAGCCCACTGAATGTGCAGAAATCATCTAACCTTCACATTGCCCTGTGGAAACTGGGGTGCAGGGAAGCAATATGAATGTTGATAGTACTCTCGGTAGGTACTGCTATTGCTGTGAGTAAAAAACTGTCCTTCATCTCTCACCCAGGAGTCTTCTGTCTCCAAAAAACTGTGGCAAGCTCGCTTGTTTGCTTGCAAGGTGGGTCAAGTCTCAGCCTCTTTGCCATGCTCCACAAGGAATAGAGTGCTATACTTGACATGTGTTATTGCAAATATGTGTTCAGTCTCTAATAATTAAATATTCAGAAGCTAAACAGATGTTCAACCAACATTTTTTCCTGCCAAAATGAATCCTTTCCCCATCTAGTAGAGTATCATGACCTTCACATCAAACATGAAAGGAAAACTATTTAAATGGAGTATTAAATTTCCTCAACCCTGTCCTGATGACCAACTGATATTTTGCTATAAGGTGGATTTACTTATTTCAAATGAGATACCAACTACCACCTCAGTGGTAGGAAAAAAACAAGCATGAATCCAGGCAAACAGCTTTGCATCCTCTGAGACATCATATAAGATCGCTAAAATTAAGCATTAAAAACAGTTTACTGAATGGAAGGCTGGAGACATTTTCCTTAGGTGAGGTCCAAATTGGAAGGTTATATTAGGTAATTTGAAAAAAGAAAAGTTTGGCAGCAACCACCATAAAGACGGAACCACTGAGTACCTCTCTACTATTTAGTAAATTTTAAAATGGTGGTTACCGTTTTAAGGAGGGTGGGGACTTTTAATCATATATGGTATTGATAGTTTTTTAACATTTTAAAACCTTTTTTCATCAAAGAACTTTACAGTTTTCACTCACATCACCTGCTGCAATAACAAACTGGGAACAGATGAATAAATTTGTTTTAACTGCTTTACTTACAGTTTTCTGGCTTGGCCCCAAACTCTTCAACTGACTGCATGCTGTGGATCTCGAATCCTTCAGGGTATTCTGTTTTATTGATAGTCTTATTGTCCACATAAATAATATGTTTAACAGAAGTGATATCTAATAATGCAGTCTGTTGAGCAGAAAGAAAATCCAGCTATGAAATATGGGCCTGCAGTAAACTCAGTTATTGAACATTTTCCTGTCCTGTCAGATAACACTATCATGAATTAAAATAAATTTCATATTTACCTTAAGCTTGCTTTCCAAAAGTTCAACGCTAGTAATCAGATAGGCAGCCTCAGATTCATTTAACCCATGAACTACAGCTTCTTTGCCAAGTGTGGCATACAAAGTCACAACTGCATAATAAAAAAAAAACACAATAGTTAAATGACAAACATTTATTTAGTACATTTAAGTCAGCCTTTAATGATAGGTACACTCATAGACACAAAGACATTTTATAATTTAATTTGATTTCCTAGTGTCTGCTATTACCCTTCAGTCTTGCCTCAAACTTCCTGGTAGCCACAAATTTTCCTAAAAAATTCTCTGGATTCTAACTTTCTAAACCTGAAGAAACCCAGACATACAGAAAGTGTCACAATTGATCGAGAATCAGTTAATTAAGGTGCTCAAGGCTAATAGGTTCTGGCTGAACTCTTAATGCAGGTCAGAGCTCCTCCCACTCCCCTGTGACACACACTTTCAATGGTCATAGCACCAAAGAACAGATAAGTAAGTCATTGAGAATCCTCAGATTTTGAGGATTTCAATTCAGAATATAGTCCATGATCATGTTCTCACTCCTTCTAAGAAAGCTTTTTTAATGGGTCCAGTGTACAGGCTTACTGGTGACCTCAAAGCTTCAACTGAAAAAGACACGGAGGCCTACTCTTGAGGAGCTACCAGACAAAGTAAACATAAACTGAAACCCAGATCACTTAGAATTAAGGGATCTGTGTTAAACTTAGATCAGACTTGGAAATTCAGCTCTCGGCTGGTAACCCAAATAGCAACATGGTCAGTAACAGCCGCTTTTCATGTGCTCCTGATTGTTAAAGTTAGGTGATGTGCACATCGGGGATCATTTTCAAGTTATCCGTTTTTGTTTGAAATGCAAACTCTTGATTCGTATACCATACCTGGAATGTTCTGTTTCATTCAACAAGTAACTGAGTACTTAGTGTGTGACAGGAACTGTTCTGGACTGATAATATTTAAAAATCACTTCTTGCACAATGGCTCAAGAATCAGAAATATACCCAATTTAACTTTCTGGCCAACATACGTAAGGCCAGTTTAAGCGGTCACATGCTTATTCCACATGTAAAATGGAAAACGTCAAATAAGAGGCCTTGAATTGAAAAAATGAACTAGAATTGTGCTAAGCAATGATTTTTTGTTGTCATTATTTTGTGGGTAACTTCCTTAAAAATGCTCCCAAACCCCAAATCTTTCAAGTACAATTCACTTCCAATTAAAAAATAAATTTAAAATTCCATTAATTTGCCAAATCCCAAACTAGCTCTTAGGAGTTATTATCTTTTAACTACATTACATACTTACATACTGTTTTACAGATTTAATTTATGGCAGCCAAATGACTAAAGAACACCTACTTTGATTAATTTTTTTTTTTTTTAGCTGAGCCATC